CCCGGGTGGCGGCGGGCGGCGCGCGGGCCGGGAGGGCCCGATCCGGGCTCTCCGGGCCGCGGTGGCGGGGACGGCGGGGGTGGACACGTGTTGGCACGGGATTCGCTGCGGTGGACGGCGCGTACGTGTCCGGCGGGATTGGACATGTCCGGTGGGCGAGAGGGAGGTTTGATCTAGGGTTTGGACACAAATTTCGGAGGGGGGTGTTTATATAGGTAGAGGGAGCTAGGAGAGTCCAAATGAGGAGCGGTTTTCACCCACACGATCGTGAGCGAACGACCGAGAGCATGGAGGGGGTTTGGATGGGCTCATGGGCTGTGGTGAGGAGGGGCTGGGCTGCAAAGAGAGAGGGGTTTCAGGCTACGTGGTTAACCGTTGGGGCATCAAACGACCTCCAAATGGAACGAAATTTGACGGGCGGTCTACCGGTGATATACCAAGGCCACTCGGCAAATCTCGGCCCATTCCTAGAATGATTTTTATCACGCTCACGAAACAAGGTCTGAGAGGGGCGACGGGCGCGTGCTAGAGTGTCGGGGCTCAGAACGAACAACGGAGAGAACCGGGGGAACCTGAACGGATGCAAGTTTTGAAAAACATGCAGATGAAATGCAGATGATAACATGGCAAAATGCAACACGCAAGCAAATGACATGGTAACAACGATGAATAACTGGAAGACACCTGGCGCATCGAATCTGGGGCGTTACAGCATTGCATGCATTTGACTTATTGTTATTTCTAACCTGTTAATGGTTGTGAGTGTAGATGGCTCCGGTGTTGTATCCATGTCAGTTGCAGCTGATGCCCTACACTTCTCCGCATCTCCTTCGTAGCATGTGGCATCGACTGTACCCTCACGATGACGACCCAGCATATCGGGTGTACCGGGAGCATCTAGCCGACTCCGTGTATGAGTATCACGCCGTGGTTACTCTGCGCACCAGTTCATCAGTGGGTTCTTACACTCGTACCTCTCGGAGCAGTTATGCATCCACCGATGTCAGGCCGTCCAGTATGTTGCATTCGAGATTCTTGTTGAGTTACGCTATGCTGAGGCTCGGATGCAGAACCACCCATGTTTTCGTTTCTACCCATCCCTGCATGATGATGGTCGTGTTCGCTTTCATTCCGTTGATGTGGCGTCTGATAGTGACACTAGCCACCTTTCTCGATATATCACTGCTAGTTATCTT